TTTTCTTAATTAACAATTGATGGAGGAAGGCCCAGCCCATTGTGGGTGGTGCCAACCCTGGACTGGAGGTCCTGGGTTCTCTAAGAAGGCAGGCTGAATAAGCCATGTGAGGCAAATCAGTAAGCAGCACCCCTCCATGACCTCTGCACAGCTCCTACCTACAGGTTCGGGTTGGGCTCTGTTTGAGTCCCTGTCCTGACTTCCTTTGAGGATGAACTGTGATGTGGAAGCATAAGTCAGAGAAACCTTTTCCTCTCCAACTTACTTTGATCCTGGTACTTCATCCTAGCAATAGTAACCCTAACTAAGACGCCCTTGTTTTTACATTAACTACTTTCATGAGGAGGAGTGTTGGATGATCATTTCAATGATTCTTGTTTGCCAATTGCTTTTCATGTGTTTCTTCAAGTTCTTGTTTAGCTTGTGAAATATGGACAGGACTTGATTTAAAAGCTCCATCCTTAGTTTTACTAATTCAAAATCTTTTGAGGTGAGGTGGGTCAGTGAAGAGTACTTAACTAACATGTCTGAGTCCCTGGGTTCCATTCTCAATGCTGAAAAGAAAAAGCAAGGAAGGATGGGATGGAGGAAAGAGAGAGAAAAGAGCAAAGGAGGAATGGAGAGAGAGAGAGATCCTTTTAATGAGTTACCTTTCATTTAAAAGACATTTGTACATCAGCTTTATGAAGACTCGTGTGGATTTACTATAATAGAGTTTGATGGACTTCTCACCACCCTATGTTGTTCTGTCGTCTCCTAATTTCCAAAGTTGTGTTTCACAGATTTAGGTAACCTTTCTAGCCCGTGGAAATTTAGAGTTAAGATCTTTGTATGAGCTTTGCAAAGTGAGAAACTATGATGCATAAATATGATCTCAAATAATTTTAGGAAGCTCAGTGGAGTCAAATTGAACTTTGGTTTTTCTAGGCTTTACTCCTTTAACATTTAAGAGGATGTTCTAATTTGTAAAATGTTGATATGTGGCAATAATCACATAATATAAAGTCTTTAATTAGGTGGCCTTGTTTGAGTATTGAGTTTATGGTGTATTACAGAATATATAGTGATTGTGGTAAAAAAAAAAAAAAAACAAGTGGAAACAAGTGAATTTATCAGAAAAGCATCAGAATAAAGCCAATGACTAGCCCTGCTCTACACACACACACACACACACACACACACACACACACACACACACACTAGCAGCAGACAGTAGCTTCTGAGTTTTCTTTTTCTTTCTTAGGAACTCATGTTACTGATGAGAGCGGAAGTGATTGCATCACGGAGTCAAAGCATTTGGACAGTTTGTAAAAACCTTCTTTGCCGGGTAATTTCACTCTTGCTCTTGCAGCTCCCCAAGAATTGCTTGAGTGCACAGAGGATAGTTTCCTGAGCAAAGTTCACGTGCGGCGTAATTTAAGAGCTCTGATTATGCTCTGTGATAGTCTGAGTCAAACGCTAGGAAAACCTGATATGAGAGGAAGGGCAGAAGGCAAGTGTGAATGCTTTCCTTCCCCAGCTCACAAAAAGAAAGACAACACAAATGTTCTAACTGATGTGGATTCTCAACCCTGAGCAGCTACCATTAAGGAGTTCGGGGAAAAAAAAAGTGGGATAGGAAGAGTATGGCGCAAACAACTTAGCAATTTGTTATTTTATGTGTCATATCCAATTTCCTCAACATAGATGTGTGCATCTACACAGACAGGTTCTTGTCATCTCATTCATCAGGGTATCACAGAGAGTTAACTACCAGCCACATAAAAAGCTATTGTATTTGTATTGCTAAGTGCCCTACTTTGAATTTCTCAGTGGGTCTGTTAATTTCCCTGTGAGATGATTTAGTTATATCCAAAAGCATATTGTGAATGATGAGGACGTGTTGAGAAATAATTCATCCTATTAGTAACCTAGCTCCTGGTAATACACACCCGATCCTAAAACTCCCCCACTTGATTAAATCCTCCTGCTGCCCAGTGAAACACTAGCAATGGGAGCTAGAACTGAGACAAAGTTCCAACATTCCAGAAGCCATCCCAACCTTCGCTTCCTGCGAGGTGCTAAAATTGTTGACTTTTTAGGTGAACAAAGAGGAAAGGAGTGATCATTTTAATATTTGGCAGTTCATTCTTATGTGATTTGGAGATCGACATAAAATTACAGAAAGGAGTTGGTGAGCACCCAGTCGCCATTGAAGGTGTAAGGAATTGGACTGACACAACATATCAGAATAAATCAATACCACATAGCAATGTGCCAATATCAGTTGACTCTGATTTCGGGGCAATGCATGAAGAAATTTGGATCCCATTGCTTACTCGCGTAAATTAAAACTCTACCATGTGCCGCAGACTTTTGAGGTTACCAAGAAAATATGATCACTGTACATATATGCTTTCGTACTGTTTGCTTTTGGCTAGTCTTCCCATGGTCTCGACCTGGCTTTTCCTAATCATAAGCTTCCTCCAGGTAGCTGCTCTCCAGGAATCCTCACTGCAGATCTACCAGTGTTCCGCAGGCAAGACCCAGAGAGGTTTTGTCTTTAAAAAGAAAAAAAAAAGATGTATTTATTATTTTACGTGTATGTGTGTCTTGCGTGTGTGTGTGTGTGTGTGTGTGTGTGTGTGTGTGTGTGTGACATGTGTGCCTGATGCCCACTGAGGTCAGAAGAGGTCAACAGATCCCCTAGAATCAGAGCTACATATGCCACAGTGTTGGTTCTGGAAACTGGACCCAAGATCTCTGCAAGAGCAACAAATGCTCTTGACCACTGAGCCATCTCTCTAACCCTTCATTTGGTTCTCAAAAATCTAGATAAATGTTTGGCTCTTAGACAGTATTCACTTAAATGAGAAATGAGGCAAGGGCAGTGAAGGAATAAGAGAGAGGAGGAGACTCGTCAAGATGAGAAGAATGATAAGACTCTAAGATTGGCTACAGGAAGCATCTAGGTTTCATGGCAGAGTCTCAAGGAAAGTTTATTAAATGAATCCAAGTCATATGAGCATGTCCACACAACAGGCTGTTTGCTAGGCACAAAGTACATTGCAGAGAGTATTGAGGTCATGTCTTTGCCCTAACAGAGCTTCTGTTCAAATAGGGGAGACAGACAGTGGATAGTATATAAAATGGATCCTAAACACACAAAACAATATAGTACATAGTGTAAATGTAATAGAAAAACATGAGTTACACAATATATGGCCCTCATAGGCATTCAGTATCATACAAAGGCCTATTAAGGGGTCCAGTTCTACACATATAAGAACTGCCTCTAGGGATACGCCAGAAGGTTCATACATCTTTACTTCCAAGAAACTACATGTGGGAACTACTAAGGGAATTGTTAGAGGTCTGGCCTTTATAATTCACATGTTCACTCACCCAGTGGAATACATCAGGAGCAATCTGTGTAGACACGAAAGTGGCTCTTTCTCAATCACAGCATGGATCCCCAAGTGGGAAGGAAGCAGTATGAGCAGCCCCTGAAGGACAGGCTTCCTTCAGGTACAGCTGGGCAGACCCCACCATCTCACCTGAAAGAAGGATGGAAAGGGCTTGGGAACTGAATGCCAACACAGCTATTCCATAGCTTCTAAGCAGGATTGTTGGAACCTCCCATACCGTATCCACAGATGTTCAAGTCTTGGATGCAAAATACTGACATCTTCCATGTAAACATTTACAACCCTTCTGTATGAGTTCAAATCATCTCTAGATTATTTACATGACGGAGATACTGCATAAATAATTGTTATGTTTTATTATTTAGTAAAGAGGAAAAAAAGAAAGGAAAAGCCCTGGGTGTGTTTACTGTCGCTGCAACTTATTTTTCATATTTTACATACATATATATATATATGAAAAATATGTATACACACACACACACACATATATGTTATATTGTTTGGATGTGCAGGTGTATAGCCCACAGACACAGACACTGTCTGGATACCCTTACAGACTTTGAGTTGAAAACAGTGTATGTTCGTTTTATTTGATTTTCAAAGATCTTGAATAACTTCCCATTTTTACTAATGGCTTGTTTTGGTGGGCCAGGAACCTGAATTTTGTGACATGGGGAAGCTGCTGGGTCTCACTGGATGGCTGTATTGGTGTGGCACCTTGAATTCTCCTCAGGACTTCTGAGAACAAACGACTAGCAGCAGATGTGTGTGGCAAGCATGAGCTTAGATTTGGAAAAGTGACAGCGGGCTCTTCTTTGTATTGCAGTCCAGGTTGAAGCTACAGGGAATTTTGAGGACTAAGTAAGTGGAGAAGAGGTGAGAAATTTGGAGGTGCGGTGCCGAGGGTGTTAGTGTATGCTGAATAAAATTTCGGGATAAATTATTTTCAACTCCCTTCACATCACTCAAATTGACATAAGATAGAGCCACATACAGGCCTCTATTTCCTACATTTTTTCCTTCCTTCCCTCTTTTTATTTTTTTCTTTCTTCCTCCTTTCCCTTTCCTCCTTCATCTTATTTTTCCCTTCTGCCTTCTTTTAACTTTCCCTTTTTTCTTTCTACATGGGACTTTGATTAGTTTCTCATAATTGAAACAAGTTTGTCTCAAACTTCTGTACACAACATAATATATTTAATAAAATACAGGTCCATAAATAGGACCACTAGGCTCCACAATATATTATTCCCCTCCGATTATGCCCATTTCTTGGGTGTATATGTAACACAGGTTAGCTTAATTTTTTTCCTTTTTAATTATTAGTGTTCTAAGCCTCCATAGGATAATTTTCTCATTAACATTTTAGCAACAGAAAGTCAGCAGGAATTTATTTCTTGAATTACTTTTTCTGACCTTCTACAAAATGATAATTACAAAAAAAAAAAAAAGAGAGGCCTAGAAAACTTGTAAAAAAATTAAGCTTATAAAGTAGCTAAAATGATCCTTTCATGCTGGTGTTGATTTCAAAATTAACATTTTGGTTCATGTGCTTCTAAAATAATCACTGACCCTTACCTTGTGGACTTTCCACAGGAAATGAATACGGCAGAAATTACTTTGACCCGCCGATGGAGGAGGAAATAAACTCAAGGCAGTGCCGGATGGAGGTCAGCAGACGGGGTGAGCTGGAATTAAGTATGTAATTTTTGTGTCAGAATATTCTCTCCCATTCATGAAAATGAGGTGGCAAAGATCACACATACGGTCCCAGTTTCGTTTTGCAGCTTACAATTTAAATGGTAGGCTTCAGCTGCACACAGCATGATGGGAGGAAGAGGAAGAGGTGAGTTTTCAAGGACAGCTAGCCTGTGGGATGAAAGAGGCAGGATCTGATTTCATCTGCTGCTTTGTGAGGGGGGCTTGGTGCCATTCTGAGGTGGTTGCAATGTGTCCCAGGGACAGCAGGACTTTGTGAATGCCTCTTTGCTCTTGGAGTTAAGAAGGAGCGTTACTCAGCCAAGCATGGCCAGCCCTGCACTTGAGTCCCCGCTGTCTGTTCTGTTCAGGTGCTTGCAGCCAGTGCAGGAAATGACCGCTGAGCTTGCAGTCATGCCAGCACAGACCTATGACAACAACCTGTTCTTGTTTCTCAAGATTGGTTTCCTCATATAACACATAATGGAATTTTATTTTATTTTCATTTCACCATTCCTCCTTCTCAATTCTTGCTCATCCCTTCCTATCCCCAAATTGTGTGAAAAAATACGCTATTTTGTCTTTCTTTTTACTTTTCTGTTTTCCCCTTTAGAACTTTGTCTTTTATATTCTCTCTCTCTCTCTCTCTCTCTCTCTCTCTCTCTCTCTCTCTCACACACACACACACACACACACTGTGTCATTTTTTTTGTCAGCTTGACATAGTCTAGATTCACCTGGAGATGAAATATCAGTTGAGGATTCGCCTCTATCAGATTGGCCTGTGGGCATGTCTATGGAGAAATTTGTTGATTAATGACTGGAAGGGTCCAGTCCACTGTAGGCTATGCCATCGCTGGACAGGGAGGTACTTGTTGGGGTAAGGAAGCAGGTTGGGCAAGCAAGCCACAGGAGAGACCAGTAAGCGGCTTTCTTCTGTGGCTTCCGCTTCAGTTTGTGTTTTCGGTTCCTGTTTTGATTTTCCTCAAAGATGGTCCCTGATGTAGAAATGCAAGCAAAATAAACCCTTTCCTTCTGAAGATGTTTTTGGTCAGTGTTTTATCACAGCAACAGAAAGGAAGTCATCACCTTCCCTTCACCAGACACAGATCTATAGATTCATCATAAGAAAGCATGTGCTATTTGTCTTCCAGCTTATTTTTGTTCATCAAAACGATTCTCAATTCCACCCATTTTTTATAATTTTGGATCCGGTTGTGGTTATATAAATATAAGTGCAAAATTGTTTCCTAGGTCCTTACCACTGAGAAGATGGTTTACAAAGCACTGTAGAGTTTATGAGGGGTAATGTGGGGATAAAAGGACAGTCACAACCATTCCTTAGAGTCAGGCTCAACCCGGAAGGCACATACTACTACTGTGCACCAGAAATCAAGTGTGTATGGCTCCACAGAAGCCTGGGCAAAACTCTTACCCATCACAGGGCTCAAATACAGAGAAGGCTGTTTGACAAATAGTTCTCAGGGAAGCAAAATTTATCTTTTATGATGCAGAAATCACTGGTGCCATCAAAAGATACAGTTTAATTAGAGGCATTTTTTTTTCTCCCATCCTTCAAGAGCCAACGTGCTGAGCTAGAAGGACGCACAACAACTCATCCGATTGAAACCATCACAATGAAATACCTTACATAAAACAAAAACAGAAACAAGACATTCAGGCTGAACTATAAAATCTCAACCTGTTATTTTCCCAATTACACCTGAGAGGTTAGAGTATACCTCAGTGACCACTGGTGAGGCAAGTGAACGGACCTCGTAGCACTGTGTCAACACCTGACAGTTTTGGATTTTAGAACATTTAGGAGTTCACACGTTCAGGCTGGGGATGTTCAATGTGAATCACCTTTTTTCACTGTTGGCTAACATTGCCCAGCCGCTGTGGTTGACCAGGAGTCTGTAACTTAGGGCAGACAGGCTATGCTGTTGCTGCTGCATGAGTCACTTTGCTCGTAGCTATGACAGATAAGCTGGCAGAAGCAGCTAAGAAGGTGTTTGTTGTGCTCATAGTTTGAGGGTCCCGGTCACCAGGACGAGGAAGACAGCATGGCTCGAGGCAGCTGCTCCTCTTGCACTGCAGTCTGGAAGCTGAAGAAGATGAATGAGTTGCTCAGATCCCTTCCTCCTTTCATTCAGTCTGAGGTTCTAAGCCAATGGAACATTGCTGCCTCAAGTGATAGACCAATCTAGAGAAATCTGTCGTAGACAATGCCCAGGATTGTTCCTAGGTGATTCTAGAGTATAGTAGCACAAGTTTGATGGTTACAGGATCAGTTTGCTATACTGTTTCTGCCCCTTCTGGAATCAGGGGTCACATTATCTCTTTTCTTAGCCAGTTTACTTTGCTCAACGTAAGTGATTGACCTGGCATCCGTATGTCAAAAACATGACAATCCTAATCCTAAATTCTATGGCCTATAAGGCATCAGTTAGGAAGACACTTCTGTGTCTTGTGTATTTGGTGCATCTTTAGCATCTTTACTTCAACTTATGTGATTTTTATTTGCTCTAAGAGTCAATGAGCAATATGTAAGCATGAACTGACTGCATATGTATATATATTATATTGTATGTGCATGCATGCTGGTGTGGGGGACCAAAGATTACACCTATCTGTTCTGTGAGCTGATAGGCTGTAAACATTGGTGAGATGAAATTCAGGTAGGAATTATTGACGTTGCTGCCAAGTTCTACCTTTTCAGAGCAGCAGGCTGGAATTTGAAGAACATTTCTATGTTGAGTGTTATGGAGAATACTTCTCTGAGAAAACTTAGCCTGTTCCGTTAAGGCTTTCCCTGACTTGGTCCACCCATATTTTGATGAGTCATTTGGCCTCCTTAGAGTTTAAATGTTACTCTTTCATCAAAGTGGACTGTGAAATATTCAAGAAAAACAGTAGCTTTGCAGAAACTGGTTTGACTAAGGAAGTACATACCAGAGTCAAGCTGGCACATAAAATGCAGCAGCACAGGCTGCATTTAATCATTCAGTTATAATGACACCTTATAAGGTGCTGAAATCTGGAGATTTGACATGCCTAATGTCAAACTTTGGCCTCTATTCTCACTTCCTTATTTTTCTTGTCATTATCTAAGTTATTAGATGCATATTGGTTGCAAATAATTTATTTCATGGATTTCTTTTGCGTTAGCTCTTAGAGGCTCCTAGAATCAGGCACAGTACTTGACTCACAGGTGATGTTCAATGTCTATTTGCTGACATGAAATAAACCTTTATGAAAATAAAGAGTGAAGAAAGTCCACACACTCTTTCCCCTTCGCACCCGCGCTGCATCTCAGAAAGCTACTAAGCACTTACCAAGCCAAACAACCAGAAATGAGGAGTCCTTTGCTGAGTGTCCCCTGTAATCCTAGCAGAAAGTTTCATTACCCTGTTACCCCTCACAGTGTTCCTACTTCATGGCCAAGGGCATTGAATTGCTGAATTTTATGTAAGAAACTGCTACCCAAATGTGCAGAGCTGCTACAAGACAGTGTTGGGGTTTGGATGTAGAGTTTGCTGTTACCAAGGCTGTGCCGTTCTTTGTGCCTTCTGAAGATAAAGATTCTACAGTCATCTCAGTGGGGGAACTGAGTGCATTGGCATGAAATTCCTCATATCTGCATTGCGTGCAGCTCGCTGTTAACTTCCAAATAAGATTCTTTTATGAGCCATATATAAGCTTTATACGTTTTGTTACTGTCCCACTAAGAGTTATAAAGCATCCAGCAACACTGGTCTGAAGGCATGCTTTTGTAACATGCAACCTACAAAGGAGACTGTCTCTCCCCTGCCTCGAATGTGGTCTGTGCTGGCTCATGGCAAGGAAGGATAATTTGTAGGTCACTTGATACTTGAACAAGCCACCTGGAGTGTCCAAGGACCAGGAGCTGCTAACTTCATGGGTCTTTGTATGTCACTCTCAAACATTCCAGCTACCCCAGCAGCCTTTGCATTCCAAGACCTCTGTCATCATCTGCCCTGCATTGTTCTCCTAACACTGGCCTACAAAGAATCTCATCTACAGACAGAAAAGGGAGGTCTAGAATAGCATGGAAAATGACGGTCCTGGAATCTAAGATAAGTTACCTCAGAACTGTCCCACTCATGAGCAAGGGACTGAACCAAAAAGAGCCAAAATAAAAACAATGTAATAAAAATTTCACATAGTTTGTTCTTAGGAGAAGGACTCTGTGATTGACACATGGACTACACGTGTGTTTTCCTACTTCTGTAACTAGGGAAAAGAGACCCATCTAGGTGACATTTTAACCTCTGTCAGATTTTTAATGTCCAAAATCTGTCTGAACATCTAAATATCGCTCACTGAGTCTGAGTTTTCCTTTGAAAAGGTTATAGCTATACAGTACATTATATTCACTTCAGTCCAAACTTAAGGTGAACATGCGACAGAACATAGCAATCTACAGCCCTGGACACAACATACTTTGCCACTTTGAAGCATCACAGGAAGAACAATGGGGGTGGCCGTTTAATGTTTAAACTGAAAAACTTCCACTTTCACAGAATAGTATGTAAAAGAAAGTTATTGAATTGTAGATAATAAAACCCTCTTACTCCATATGAGAAAGAAATGAAGTTGCAGTTTTCTGAACCCAGTAGTGTTAAAACAATGAAGGTGAAGGAGATTCCATGTCATCTTGTGTTCAACAGATAGAAGGAAGAAGGAGAAGCCTGGTCAGGAATCACTCAGCTGGTCCAGGAAGAGCCCGGACACCCACAAAGAGGCCGAGGAAGCTACGCTTGTGCACCCTGAGGCATCTGAGGGGCATGCTCAGCGAGGTAGCGTTCTGCTGTCAGGCTCTCCATCAGAACAGGTCAGCAATGAAAACATTCCAGACCTTTTGATGGCTGCTTTAACACGGCAAGCTAAAATGTCAGCCCTACAGCGTCTACTGACGTTGCGTCTCGGCTTACCTCATTAGAACATTTGATTTGTGTGGTTTTTGTGACTGAGACTTTGCTAGTCTCTTTCCACACACATTTTTACCAGGCAGAAGGTATACCGATCACCAGTGCTGCTCTGGCCTTTGCAAAATGTAGTTGTACTTCATCTGGTTTGAGTTTGTGTAGCAGTGGTCACTTAGAAGATCAGCCACAGTTAACTTCTTTGAATGTGATGAAGAACCTCTTGGATTTGTTTTGCATAGCACAGCATTAAGACTTGAATGTTCTAATATCTGTGAGATCACCGGGTAAGGACTTAAACTGAACATTCTGATTGCTGTGACTTCAGAGACACCTGTTAGAGATGTGGAGTGATGTCACACAGTGGGCTTTGGAAAAGAAATGTGTTGCTTCTATTCAGTTTCCTTATCAATCTCAAATAAAGACACAAGAGTCCCACAGGTGCTACTCCAGGGTGTGTGTGTGTGTGTGTGTGTGTGTGTGTGTGTGTGTGTGTGTGTAATGTATGATGACTCAAAAATTTCATCAGGTTAAGATGTATTTTTCTCAATGATGTTTTGTATAACAATAGTTCCTGAGCCGAAATAGCATTGACTTCAAAAGTCAAGCACATAGCATAATTGGAGTGGGCAGGTGGCATTCTCTAATCAGGAGTGTGGTGATTCCATAATGGTGCCTAATTTATTCCTCTGTGCCATTTAGAGCTGAGCATGCTGGGTTCATTAAGGGCATGTCTATTTTGAGCGTTCTCATGTCAGTGACCTGAATTAACAAGTACATCCAGATCCTCCTCAGAGTCCAGCAGTGGCTTGAATTGGGTCCTCTAAGAGTATAGTCAAATCCTGCCCTCCAGTACCTGCATATGTGATCTAATTCAGAGCAGACATACAGGATTTGGGGTTGATCCTTAACCCATGACTGGTACCTTTTAAGAAAAAGAGAAATGACTTCATATATAGACACACAGAGAGAAAAGCTATGTGAAGGAAGCAAAAACTGGAGTGATATATTTATCAGCAAAGGAAGATGTGGTAGTTTGAATAGGAACAGGGATGTGTTTGAGTGCTTGTTCCATAGGGAGTGGCACTATGAGGAGGCGCGGTCTTGCTGGAGTAGGTGTGGCCTTGCTGGAGGAAGTGCATCACTGGGGAGTGGTCTCAGAGACTCAAGCCCAGGCTCAGTGGTAGTCACTTCCTGCTGCCTAAAGATCTGGATGGAGAACTCTCAGCTCCGTCCCCAGCACTGTGTCTACCTGTGCACCACAGTGCTTCTCATCATGATGATAATGGACTAAACCTTTGAAACTGTAAGCCAGCCACAATTTAATGTTTTCCTTTATAAGAGTTGCCAACGTCATGGTGTCATGGTGTCTCTTTAAAGCAATAAAACCCTAACTAAGACAGAGGGCTTAGAATGGCCATGAGTATTCAGAAGTTAAGAGACGTGGGACAAATTTTCTCCTGGAGTCTCAAGAAGGAACCTATCCTTATAATCCCTTGATTTTAGACCTCTGGCTGCCAAAATGGTGAGATGATAAATTTCCGTCATTTAAAACCACTGAGTTTGTGATTATAAGTGCACATGTGTGCCTGTGTTGTCACTGTGTGTGCATGGTGTGTGCACGGATGAGCTCGGGTGCCTGAGGTCTTTCTTCAGTTCCTCTCCACCTTTATTTTTTTGAGATAAGGTCTCTCACTGAACCTGAGGCTCATCAGTCTGGCTAGCCAATGAGCTTCAAGGGATTTGCTTGTTGCAGACATGCACAGCCATGTTTAGATTTTTACCTAAGTTCTAGAGAATTGAACACAGGTCCCTGTGCACAGCAGATACTTTAGTGACTGAACCAAGACAATCTTTAAAGGCAGCAACAATATAACCCGTATTCTAATCTGCAGATCCATGAGGTAAGCTTTGCCTCTTCAGTGATGTGTAACAGAGACTTAGGTCTTTATGAGTTAAGGTCTAAAGCAACAGTTTTCAACCTGTGGATATGTGAACCCTTTAGGGGTCAAAACTACCCTTTCACAGGGGTCACCTAAGACCAACTGCATATGAGATATTTTCATTATGATTCTTAACAGCAGCAAAGTTACAGTTCTGAAATAGCAATGGCATAATTTATGGTTGGGGGACACCGCAACATGAGGAACTGTACTAAGGAGTCACAGCATTAGGAAGGCTGAGAACCCCTGGTAATGGGACATTGAGATGAAAGTGGACATAAAAAATGAGCTTTGTATCTGAGCTTCCTTTTACATTTTTTTTTCAGGTGCACATTATATTAGCTCAAAAGTTCAACATTTCATTTTTTATCTTTGTAGCTTGTAGTACCAGTGCAGGTGAACCAGGGCAGTCCGAGCTCTTAAGATGGCAATCCTGATCCTTCACGATACCATCTATATCTACAAACTGTGAGAGGTAAACTGAGGATCAGAATGTTGCCACTTGGCAGCTTGTTGCAAGGCTTTTAAACAATGTGCCAGCATATGGGGAGGGTAATAAAAACTGCCTGCCTGCAGCAGGAAGTCATAAACACATTCGTGAACATTGGAATGTGTCATAGATGTGGCTGTTTTCTGAGCCCATAAGTTTCTACCAGTGAAACTGATGATTCTCTCCTAATCTATGTGCCTTAAATTATGTGAAAGAGTTAGGTGTGTTGGCACAGGCTGAAATTCCAGTACTTGGGACGTAGACAGAGGAGGACCACAGGTTGTATAGGTATGTCTGAGGTAACCATGGGCCACATGAAACTCCTGCCTCAAAAATTAGAAAACTTACATGAAAGGTGGTGTTAGGTGATTGATTAAATAACTGAGAAGGAAATAGTGCTGTTATAAAAATATGGCTGGACTGTCATCTTGGCAAAGATGTCAACTTTGCAGTCAGAATTCTTGTAGAGACATAGCCAGGCAACTTACAGCGTGTTGGTTTGTAGATGAATCATGTAATGTTGCTGGTCTCAGTAACTGCATCTAGAACTTGAGGACTTGATAGCTTGGTATATGAGGAATGCCAGTTCTAAAGAACCTCACAGAGCAGGTTCTGATTAAATGGCAGGACACAGGACAGAAGACTCCAGTCCCTGGTATGAGGCCAGTCTATGTACTGTTCTCAGGATCCTTGTAGCAGTAATTCCATGGACATGGCAGGATGAACCGTTTAATGAGGAAGTTTGTAATTGGATTTCATCTTTGTTTCTGCTGTTTATATGTGGTCTTCAGCCTTTAGAACGACATAGGGCTAAATAATCAGCTCATAATGTCCAAGTGTCTGGAATTAACATCCTCCCTTGTGGGGGAGGAGAGAGAGAAAGAGAGAGAGAGCTCTTAGAAAGCTTTCTGAGGCAGCTTGTGTCTGAGAATTACCTGGTAAAGAATAAAACTCAGCTAAGTGTAGAGTTTTTCCAAATTAAGTTGCACAGAAAATCCAGGAAATCAGTACTATGTGGTTTTTCAAATAAATATTGAATTTGGAAGAAAATAATTTCACTTTACATTTTGGCTACTAGGAAGATGTTTTCTGGGACATTCTTAATATTTACCATGCCCTGGATACCTGCTACTGACAGGCTGCAGAGAACAGGGCTTCTTCAGAACTGTAGCTGTAAACAACCCAGACATTTGGCTAATTAAATTAGGAAGCCATGCTTTAAGGGCGAATGTGTGTGTGTATGTCTGTGTGTGTGTGTGTGTGTGCACGCGCGCGCGCTCTCGCTCGCTCTCGTGCAAGCATGTGCGTGCACATGAGGGAATTATGGCATTTTTAAAGTTTTGTTTTTGTTTTCAAAATAAGATACAACATTTAGGGTAATGGTAGGAACAATGTACAAGCTGGAATTAAATACGTTCTAGAGAAACTTTCTTTCAAGGAAAAACACTGTCTACTGACAACTAGATTTACTTTAAATTTTTTTAATTTTAATTTTAATTTTATGAGCTTACAAAATGCCAACTTTCTTTTTGAAAAAAATAAGTAGAAAAATATTTTTCACACATTATGTACTGATTATGCTTAACCCTCCCTCGACTCCTCTCAGATCCTCTCACCTCCCCACCCATCCAAATCCAACCCTTTCTTGCTCTCTCTCAGAAGAAACCAAACAGGCATCTATAAAAACAACAGAAAAAATGAAAAATATAAATAAACCCGAGATAAAACAAGCAAACCCAAGTAGAACAAAACAAACAAACAGGAAAAGAAAGTCAAAGAAAAAGCACGAGAAATACATACAAATGCAGAGGTGCTCACACAGAAATCCATGCACAAAATCAGAAACCATAGTATATAAGCACAAGACCTGTAGAGTCAAACACACACACACACACACACACACAGAGACAGACAGACAGAGAGACAGAGTGAGAGAGAGAGAGAGAGAGAGAACAAAGAAAAAAAGGTTCAGATAAACCAATGTAAGACAAAACAAGGAAAACCTCCAAAAATATCACTGAGTTTATTTTGTGTTGATGATCTGCTGCTGGGAATGGGGCCTGCCCTTGAGTGTGGGTTTTATACACAGTGAAACTCCCTTGGAAAGAACTTTTTTCCTTTGTGAGCCACTATCAATTGAAAGCAGCTTCTAGCTTAGGAATGGGGCTTGTTCCCACTTATTCTTTCAGCACTGGGACCCTATCTGGCTTAAATCTGTGCAGGCCCCGTGCATGCCGCTACATTCTCTGAGTTTGTATGTGCACCAGTCCTGCTGTGTTTAGAAGGCCTTGTTTCCTTGGTGTTCTTCATCCCTTCTGGCTCTGACACTCTTTCTGCTTCCTCTCCTCCAGAGTTGCTTGAACCCTGAGGGAAAGTATTTGGTGGACACATCCCACTTAGGACTGAGTATTCCAAGGTCTTTACTGTGTTCTTTTAGCAGAACCATGTATTTGATTTTCCCCTAGATCCATGGCTT